GGAGAAAGAAAACTAAAAGAAAAAAGAAGGACGGGGAAAAGAGGAGGGGAGATGAAGAAGGAAAGATGAAGAAGAGGCAAAAAGAGAAGTGAAAGAGGAGAGGAGTTGAAAAGAAGGCAGGAGAGGAAATGAGACTGGAGGAGAAGAGAGGAGAGCAGGACGGGGAGGAGAGCACAGAAAGGGACAGAGAGTGCAGAGAAGAGAAGAAAAAAGGACATGATGAGAACGTGAGGGGAGAAAAATGAAAAAAGGAGATGGAAAGAAGAAAAGAGGACAATAAAGAAAAGAGATGAATAGGGAAAAAGGAGAGGAAATAAAAAAGATGAAAAAGCAGAAAAGGGAAGAACAGAGGTAAAAGGAAGAGAGGAGAAAAAAGAATGGAGTGAACGCTTAAGGAGGAGAATGTTTTTATTTTGTTAGTATTATGAGGACATTTTGTGATTTGTTCTAGCGTTATCTTTTTATCGGAGGTCGGATTTCATTCGTCTGTACACATTAACGTCACACAGACTCAAAAAGAAGGTCTGACTCGATGTTTAGGTCTCAAATGCAAAATCAACATTACACTGATGAAGATGTGATGACAACAGAAGATCATTCACTCACATCCTCAGACTCGTCCTTCACCAAGATTTCACTCAGCTCTCTTTGAATTCTCTTTTAACGCACTCACAAACAGATTCACCCACTCAGGGAAAAGACCCACACTACAAAATGTTCTTCTACACATTTACAATCACACATTCCCACCAGAGACGTCTCCAAATGTTGCTTTAAATCCACTAATTCATTGTTAAGTTAAAGAAAGTAAAAGGAAACCAAAAGAATAGATGGAGGGAAACAGATGGAGGTGGAGGATGGATGATTCTAGTGAGGTTGGTTTCCTTTTTAGACTTTGATCTGTCAAGGCTGACACACAGAGTCAAGTGCAAGAGAGGTAGAGAGACAGAGAGTGAGAATGGGAGAGAGAGAGAGAGAGAGAGAGAGAGTCCAGTGGATGTTGCTATTGTCTCCACTTTTGAACTGAGTGAGGCTGGACGGCCTGCTCAGGGCCCTTCTTGTGTGTGTGTGTGTGTGTGTGTGTGTTTCTGTGTGGGTGTGTGGCTGCAGCTGAGCTCTTTGTGTTTGTGAGTTATAGAGGGTGATTCTCTATAGTCGTATCACTGCACACAAAACAAAGAGCCAAAGCAGCAGCAGCTCAGCACGGTCCAGATTTACCCACAGCTCAACTCACTAACTATACACTGATGTGCCAAAACACGATGACTACTCACAGATGAAGCGAATATCACGGATTATCTTATAACAACGGCACATTTCGGGTCTGGGATATATAAGATGAGAAGTTAAGAGATGGTTCTTGTAGTCGACGTGTTGAATGAGGGAGAAATGGGCAGCGTGAAGACCTGAGCAACTTTGACAAGAGCCAAATTGTAATGACCAGACGACCGGGTCAGAGCATCTCCGAAACGACAAGGCTTGTGGGGACACCAGTGAGCAGTGGTCAGTGTCTACAAACAGGATGCTGGGCGCTTAAGGCTCATCAAAGAATGAGCGCAACGAATGCTATTCCATCTGGTCCGAACTGACAGAAGGGCTAATGTTACGGGAGGAATGTGTCACAACACACAGTGCATCACACCCTGTTGATTTTGGGGCTACGTAGCTACAGACCGATCGCAGTGTCCATGCTAGTCCACCGTTGAACCACCTACAATGGGCACGCAAACATTGGAACTGGACCTTGGAGTAATGGGAGAAGGTGGCCTGGTCCAGTGAGTCACGTTTTCTATTACATCATGTGGATGGCCGGTTACATGTGTGGCGTTTACCTGGGGAAGTGATGGCACCAGGATGCACTGTGGGAAGAATACAAGCCGTCAAAGGGGTATGATGCTCTGGGCAATGTTCTGCTGGGTCCAGGCATTTATGTGGACATCAGTTTGACACGTGCCAAATACCTAAACATTGTTGGGACCAGATACACCTCCTCATGGCAAAGGTATTCCCCTATGGCAGTGGCCTCTTTCAGCATGATAATTTGCCCTGTCACACTGCGCACATTGTTCAGGAACGGCTTGAGGAACATGACGAAGAGGTGGTGCCCTGGCCTCCAGATTCCTCTCTCAATCCAGTCCAGCGTCTGTGGGATGTGCTGGAACAAGGTGTCTGATCCACAGCGTCTCCAATCTGCAGCTTACAGGACTTAAGGGACCTGCTGTTAAGGTCTGGGTGCCAGATACCACAGGGCACCTTCAGAGGGCTTTTAGACGTCTTAGAGGAGCCACAGCATATTTGGCATTTATAGTGTTTTGGCTCTTTGGTGTAAAACACTACTGAGAACAAGACAAACTAACTCTGTAAGTGTTGTAAGCAGATGTGAGCTGGTATGAGAGCTAAAAGACAGAGAACTGACATGCTACCATTTTGCACCAGAGCAGGGAGAAGCCGCTGCAGAGCCAAAATGTCGCACTCACCCGCATTCTCAGACTTACTCTCGAAGATCCAGACATGATGTCACTTACGTAGCTTTGAGAGGCTACATAGCTACTAAAGATGTAACAACACATCGTATCATATAAGGGCATCAAACAGTGCATTCAACAGACTGGAGCAAATTGAGTTTAGCACATTAGCTTGGGTCTAGCATGTTGGCCTGTCATTAGCATGTTAGTTCACAGCTAGCACGTTAGCTGGGGAGTGGTAATCCTATTACAGTTTGAGAGAAGTACTGAGTAACTGAGTAACTAGCCCTATATTTGTGCTAAAACTCTAAAAAATACAGTCTTATGCAAAAATTTGGGCATGACATGACATGAATTTCTAAATGAAAATCTTCACAGAGAACACATTTTAATACACAATTACTGTTAATTTACTGACTTTAACATATTGTGGAAAAGCAAAACACGAAACGTAGCCTGGCACGCTTAACATTTTATGTTTTATTTTTTACAGTATGTTAATCTCAGCAAATAAAGAGAAACTGTGCACTGAAATTCACAGAAAAAATACCATATACTAATATACCAGCTTGTTCACTGTGTAGGATGTGGAACTTATTTTCACTTAGAAAATCAATAGAACGTCAATAATTTGACCAGAAATTTGCATACGCTTAATATCTATAATGTAAACATATAAGATAACATGATATAAATGCAGCAGAAGTACACAGTGCCAAAACTAAGAGGGATAGGAGCAGCTTTCAGAAGGTACTTTCAGAGGGTCTGGCGCTCAGAAGCCCACCCTGGCCAGTCTTTTGTGTGTGCGTCTTTTGAAGGGAGGTGAAAGCAATAAGCCTGCCGAAATGGTGCCATCACACAGACATGATTGATCAATTGAATTCTATCAGACACACTGACCACTGGGATTAAGAGGGTCAAAAACACTGCAGATCATACACTCCCCACTGTGTGTGAGTGTGTGTACATAGTTGGTGGTAGTGTGTGTGTGTGTGTGTGTGTGTGTGTGGTCATTCAGTCTTTAAATGCAAATCACAGCTTATATTTAAATCATAGGCACCATATAGTACTGTTATTGAGATGATTATAGAGATATCACTTCTACATCATGACGCAGTAAAGCAGGTATGAATTCACATTCAAATGAACTGATTTCGGTGACAAAATGAAGGAGCGCCGTTTATGTGGGTGCTTTGTCTGTCGGTTCTTTTATCACTCCGCACCTCTCTCTCTCTTTCTCGGATTGCTCCTGCCCTCCAGGTCTCTAGAATAAGCTCTCGGAGGCGTTTTGGAGAAATGAATTGGCTCTATATCAGGGATTTTCGTTTCTATTCTTTCTTTTTTTTCTCCCCCCCATCCCTCTCTCTCTGTAATCATTTGGAGGCTGTAGCTCTCTCGGCTCTTATAATTGTCTCTTCAGAAACTCAACAGCGCTGTAATAACTCACTCACACTGCCGCCTTAACACTCTCACCAGTGTGTGTGTGTGTGTGTGTGTGTGTGTGTGTGTGTGTGTGTGTGTGTCCATCCACGAGTGTACATTTCTCCAAAAGTGTCAAATAGTGAAATCATTTGCTTCCATAAAGATGCTTGTTGTATTCTTGTAGTAGTATAGTTTTGCAAAGAACTCTTATTATGGTGCAAAAACACTGGAAGGATGTTCATAGAAAGGTAGGAACAAACTCCAAGATAAGCCTTAGCTGACCTCTCCATGCTCTGCCCACAAATATGTTCTTCATAGCAACTGTTGCCAGGACATTTTTTCATGAAATTGGTCTCACCCATTATAAAACACAAATGTGATTGGTTGAACATCCAGAGTCCGTCCCTAATTGTGTTGGTGGTTAATCTTGTATGTTAGGCCTTGAGTTCAGCTCCTGAAGTCCTAACCAATTGGAGAGCTCACTAGGCTGTAACTACCCAGATACCAAAGAGGATAAAATTCTGATTGGATAATTTTCCTCTTTACACTCCTAGAATGTAATCCTTTTGTTTCCAAAACCAAACAATGACATAAGAGTATTACTACAATATTTGCAGGCTTTAAACACAATGGGGGCAGTCGTGGGCTAGAGGTTAGCGAACCAGCCCTGTGACCAGAAGGTCGCCGTTTCGATCCCTTGAGCTGACAGTACGTGACTGAAGTGCCCTTGAGCAAGGCACCTAACCCCCAACTGCTCCTCAGGCGCCTCGGATAGGGCTACTCACGGCTCCGGGCAAGTGTGCTCACTGCCCCCTAGTGTGTGTTCACTAGTGTGTATGTGGTGTTTCACTGTAGTCAACAGAATGTGCTCAATAATTATATGCTCAAAAGTTATATTTTAATTGATTTCAAAAGTATTAAATCTATAAAAGTAATATAATATGGATGATATAAAATGATTTATGTGTTCATTTTTAAGCAATGCTGTCCATATTTTTAACAAGCATTAAAATTATTTTTTTTTCTTTCTCCTACACATTTGACATTTTAAACATTTTGCTGCAAATGCAGGAGGTCCAGTTCTCACATTAGTGGTCTTTTTCTTCTCTTCAGATCTTCAGGATTCTTCCTTGGCGAATGGCCATGCCCACTCGGGGCGGGACTTCCTGCGGAAGCAGATGCGAGGGGAGCTCTTCACTCCTCAGCAACTCGAGGTATTGGACCGTGTGTTTGACCGACAGCCCTACCCCGACATTTACCCCATCCCAGACACCACCAACAACGGCAAGCCCGCCCAGGTAAGAGCCGAGGGGGCGGGGCCTGTATCAGAGGGGGCGTGGCCACGTGCACCAATACCCCCTAGCCACCCCTGTTCCCAAAGCTCCGCTCTTCCCAGCCTGGCTGCCGGCACTGCTTGACCCTTCCTGACGCCCCCACTGTTGACCTCCGACCTTGCGGGCCCTGGTGTTGACCCTCTGCCTCAGTGAGCTTATGCTTAAAGCCTGACCTCGCTGCTGCTCTATAGCTGCCTATAGAGGTTTTTGTGTTTCAAAGTCAGGTTAGAGCCCAGAGGTTTAGGGTTAAGTAGCAAACACTTGTTCCAGGGCATGCTAAAGGCTAAACGCACACTTCACTTTAGTGCTTTTACTCACTTACTCTGGGCTGTATTTTATAGTTTCACACAATAAAACATGCAAAAGTGGCCATTTATAAACAAATAAACGAGTAAATAAATAAATGGCCACCAACTAAGATAGGCCAACGCAAATTTTAAAAAATCAAATAATCAAAATTTCGATTATTGTTAGTGTAGCTATATTCAAACAGTGAAACATGTAAAGTTTGCCATCTATAATTGATAATTAATTAATTTATTAATAATTAATAAACAAAAAAAAAGAATAGTCACTGTCTAAGACAAGCCAATGTGAGTTTAAAATTCTAATTTTGATTGTTGCTCCTTTGTTATATACATTCACAGAGTGAAACATGAAAAAGTTGACATTAACAAACAAACAAGCAAGCAAACAAACAAAAACATGTGGTCAGTATATGGCTAGAAAAAGCTAATGCAAAATTAACTTTCCTCACTTTTATTATTGCTACTTTAGTTACAAGTACTGCAGTGCCACATCCTGTAGTTGACATTAACAAACAAACAAACAACTAAATAAATAAATAAATAGATTGATAAATAGATAGATATCTGACTAAGAAAAGCTAATGCAAATATTGAATTCCTAATTTTAATCACTGACACTTTAGTTCCAAGTAACTGACACATTCTGTAGTTTCACACAGTAAAATATACAAATGTGGTAATAAATAGCTGATGAAACCAACAAACAAATAAATGGCCACTATCTAAGAAAGAGTAAGAAAAAACTACTTTAAAAATTTAACACTATCTAAGAAAAACTACTTTAAAAATTTAACACTATCTAAGAAAAACTACTTTAAAAATTTAACACTATCTAAGAAAAACTACTTTAAAAAATACCATATTGAAAAAATAAAACATGAAATATAAAATGTGTTCTCAGCAGAGGATGTGTTCACTTATTTTCACTTAGAAAATCAAGTAAACAGGATTTGACCAGGGGCACCCAAACTTTTGGATCTGACTACTATAAATGGCTTCTTTGAAACATGAGAAAGTGGCCGTCAGATAATGAATGAAAAAATAAATGCATGGATAAATAATTGGCCACTTTGATGATGAGGATATTCTAATGCAAAATTTGGGGGTTTCTATGAACAGTAGGTTCAGGTAATACTAGGTTATCTGCTGGAAAGTGGATGGGAGTGAGATGCTGGTTTTTCATGACTTTTCAAGTTCTTCAACGACAAATCTTCAAGGCCATGAGCTGCACACTGCATGCAAACGAAGCCTCACTGAGTTTCAGAACTGCTAAAGTTGTCTGGTAGTGATGTATCGTAAGCCTGAGCATTTAAAAAAATGCTTACCAAAACATTTTTCACGGAGTCACATTGATGTTGTGAGCGGCTTGAGCTGAGCTACCGTTCCTGAAGGAGATATTATGTATACTTGGCCATAGTCAGCATGATGTATGAGATGCAGTGTAACACCTTGTGCTTTCTTGTAGATCCACAGTGAAGGATTCAGAGAGCATACTGCATGTCAGCTTGCAGCAATGTGTTTATAAATGTGTTTATGGTCCTGGAGCTGGTTTGCCGCTGCATTTGCGCTGCTGCTTTGAGACTATTTTATTTGCTTACAGTCCAAATTTTGGGGATGCATTGTTTTCCTTTAAAAAGGTTTATCAATGCTACTTTTCAATCAACTGAGAAATACATACCAAATGTTTTCTATTGTAAAACAGATATGTGCTAATCCTTTGAATGTACTTTATATGGCCAAAAATATGTAGACACTGACCGTCACACCTATTTGAGCTTGTTGGACATCCCTGTCCAAAATCATGGGCATTAATTTGGAGTTTTCCTCCTTTTTTGGCTGTACCAACCTCCACTCTTTTGGGACAGCTTTCCACAAGATATTGTGGAGTGTGTCTGTGAGAATTCAGTTCAGTCAAAAGAGCATTTGTGAGGACATGGAGCTTGTTCTGTACACAGGAGCACAGTCATGCTGGAACAGGAAAGGGTCTTCCCCAAACTGCTGCCACAAAATCGGAAGCATATAATTGTCTAAAATGTCTTTGTGTGCTGTAGCATCAACATTAGCCTTCACTGGAACTAAAGGGTCCAAACCCTGAAAAACAGCCCCAGACCATTATCCCTCCTCCACCATTTTTTTCTGCTGGCCCTATGCATTCTGGTAGACAGCTTTCACCTGGCATTTGCAGAGTCCAGATTCATCCATCAGACTGCCAGATACTGAAGCATGATTCATAATTCCAGAGAACACACTTCCACTGCTCCAAAGTCCAGTGGTGGTGTGCTTTACACCATTCCAGTCAACGCTTGGCATTACTCTAGAGACTCATTTCATGAAGCTCCCAACACAGTTCTTGTGCTGATGCTGCTTCCAGAGGACGTTTGGAACTCTGTAGTGAGTGATGTAACTGAGGATATGCAATTTTAACTCGTGGTCTACCGCTTTGTGGCTGTGTTGTTGTTGCTACTAGACATTTCAATTTCACAATAATGGCGCTTACAGTTGACTGGGGCAGATCTAGCAGGACAGAAATTTCACACACTGACTTAGGGCAAAGGTGGCATCTTATGACAGGTGCTATATCAATTTTAGTGAGCAGCGGTGAGTAACGTTTGTTTATGTGATGTTTGGTAATAACACCTTTAGAGGGCAGCGGTGAGTAATGTTTGTTTATGTGATGTTTGGCAATAACACCTTTAGAGGGCGGCGGTGAGTAACATTTGTTTATGTGATGTTTGGCAATAACACCTTTAGAGGGCAGCGGTGAGTAATGTTTGTTTATGTGATGTTTGGTAATAACACCTTTAGAGGGCGGCGGTGAGTAACATTTGTTTATGTGATGTTTGGCAATAACACCTTTAGAGGGCAGCGGTGAGCAACATTTGTTTATGTGATGTTTGGTAATAACACCTTTAGAGGGCAGCGGTGAGCAACATTTGTTTATGTGATGTTTGGTAATAACACCTTTAGAGGGCGGCGGTGAGCAACATTTGTTTATGTGATGTTTGGTAATAACACCTTTAGAGGGCAGCGGTGAGTAACGTTTGTTTATGTGATGTTTGGTAATAAAACCTTTAGAGGGTGGCGGTGAGTGATGTTTGTTAACATGAGGTTTGGTAATAACACCTTTAGAGGGCGGCGGTGAGCAACATTTGTTTATGTGATGTTTGGTAATAACACCTTTAGAGGGCAGCAGTGAGTAACGTTTGTTCACGTGATGTTTGGTAATAACACCTTTAGAGGGTGGCGGTGAGTAATGTTTGTTTATGTGATGTTTGGTAATAACACCTTTAGAGGGCAGCGGTGAGTAATTGTTTATTTCATATGTGCTAATAACATAGATTGTTCATTTATTGTTCAACGAATGAATGAACCATAGAAAGAACAAAGGGACAGATGAACAAACAAAAAAATGAACAGACAGACGGCAGGCAGACAGATGAGCTAGCTCGATAGCTCAGTTATGCTTGATAGGTTGGCTTTCGCTTGGTTGTTAGCTTACTCTCAGTAAGTCTTTCTGCTGGAACACAGTTTTGTCAAAGCTGTGTTGGGGAGAAGCCACATAAGCCTTGGGATTGGGGAAGCTACTGCTTATGTAAATGCTACACATGATTAAGACCACCCAGGAGAAGTTGGGCAAAATACATCAGCCATTTAGTGGACACTAGGAAGTTATTTCCAGGACATACTTTGTACATGCATGTTGTGCGTCCACAAGAGCAAGATTAGCATGTTTAGAAAGAAAATGGGTTTAAATTCCCTGAAGCTTTAATAGTTAAATAGTTGTCAAAAATTTTTATATGGCACTATTCCTGAGTTAGAGTGTCAAGGTTGTGAAAGGTTGAGTTAATATGTTATTGCAGACCAGTAAAGAAGGCAGGCCCATGGTGTCCCCAAACTTTTGACAGGCAGAGTAAGCTGGCTTTGCAAAGCTTAGGCTTCACACACACAACACAAACTGAACACAAGCAGAGAGTCAAAGGTGTCACTCAAAGTCAAATGCACGCACACACACACACACACACAAGCAGGCACAGACAGTGTCAGGGTTCTATAGACTCATCTCAAAGCCCCATAATTCCTCAGTCCATTTCACTGCTGAGCACTAAAGCTAGAGGTGTCAAAGGTCATCAACCTGCCAACGGGGGCATTAACCTCTGGGTTACACCGCCTCCCCCGAGTGTGTGTGTGTGTGTGTTTTGGTCCTTAAAATAGGAACAATTACATTGAAGGGGCCAAATTCTGGAGAGGACCCTCAGCGTATCTGCCCCCTTGTTTAACGTGATTGACGGGCAGCCGACAGCCCAACCTGAAAACTCCTGGGAGTCCGCCAACAGACAGAAAGTGACGGAAGAGGTCTTGTGAGTGTGTGTGTGTGTCTGGGGATCGGAGCTCAAGTTAGACTCCTCTTGGAGCTGCTCGTACTGCACTTGTCATTGGAGTGACCTCGTAGTTCTGCAGGACAGCAGGAGCAAGCTGTGAATCTACAATAGCTTCATCACTTCAACAACTTATATATAAACATATAAAACATTCAGCAGTTTAAATATGACAATGAAATGATAACAGCAAAAAATTATAGCAGTTTTCAGTTCAACAACAGAATTACTAGCCAACTATCAACAGTGTGTTATATTTATATTCTGGAATATATACAGT